TCCAAGATGCCTGAGCCCTGCCATCCCAAGGTGCCTGAGCCCTGCCATCCCAAGGTGCCTGAGCCCTGCCAACCCCAGGTGCCTGAGCCCTGCCAGTCCAAGATGCCGGAGCCCTGCCCCTCAACTGTCACTCCAGTACCAGCTCAGCAGAAGACAACACAGAAGTAATGGTCTACAACCAGGTCCTTGAGGAGCCAATCACTGGATACTGACCCCCTTCCCATTATTCGTATGGATCCCAGTTGCCTCACAACAGCATGCTGTCACCTTGAGTCACAGTCCCTCTCATTTGTACCCTAAAAACATGTGCTATGAAGTTTTTCTTTCTACACATTTGGGCCCTTGGAGCCTCTAAATTAGACTGAAGAACTTGGTAGCTAAGCTGGTTCTCAGCCGCTCAAAATTTCTCTGAAGAGGGACTTAAGGTGAAAATAAGTGATTCCGTTTTGTTTCGGCCCATTAAATCCACTTTCACTCCATTCTCGGCTGTGTGTGTTGCTGTCTGGCTCAATTCCTTCATTCCACTTCCTCAGGAAGTAGGAGCTGCACACAGAGATGGGAGGCTGAGGCAGGCACCTGCTCAGGAGGCACCCAACCCTGGCACTGGGGCTGGGAGGTGGCTCCAGAGGAGCACTCCGGAGCTGACAGGAGAAAGGTGACCAATGCGCCCAGAGGTTCTTTGGGCACCACAGCTGGAGCAGAGCTGTCTCTTACGACTCAGTGAGTCACACTGGAGCTGTAGTTAATACGTGACCAAGCTGACTCCAACTTGCCCTGCCCCTAAATCTGGCTTCCAGCTTGCTGAATTACTCAACAAAGTCCTCTTGACTTTAATGGTTGTTGTCCCTACTTATGTGCATCTGCTCTTCCTGATTTGTTTCTTCTGAGTACCTGCAGTTCAGATGCCCGCACATGCTCAAAGACTCACAGCCTCCACTATTGCCAGCTCTGCCAGTGCCCTTCCATTCTCTGAATGTCAGTTCTTTGCCAGAAGGAGATAAGGATGATTCACAGTGCTTGCCAGGGGTGTTCCTCATCCTACAGGGATACTCTTTGCTCCTCACCCATGCCACTTTGAGACCCAGGTACAGACAGAGACAGCCCACAGCTGGGCCAGAAGCCCTCACGGTTACACACAGCAGCTGTCCCCAGATGATGGAACCACAGGGAACGAAGACTTTCACGCCCACCCCCATCTTAGCCTAAAAATCCTCTGTGTGAAATGGAACAGGTATCAACAGCACATACATGAAGGGCAAGGGGTTTAGCTCCGTGTTCCGCCGCCTGCCTCACAAGTGCAAGGTCCCGAGTTCGATTCCCGTTACCAAAAAAAAAAACAAGAATGTTGGGAAAACAGCACATACATACGTATGCATATGCTGCATTTATATAAAATTTTGTTAGTTTTTAAGGTTTTAAAAATATTTAACTGATGCATAACTGTACATATAGGTGAGGTACAGTATGATAAAGCAAAGCGTGTGTACTATATGTAATACCCAAATCAAGGTAATTGGAATTTTCATCCTTATCATTTCTTCATGGCTTAAGACTTCAAACTCTTCTTTTCTACTTCTTCATTAAATATATAATATTCTAATGTAACTATAGTCATCCCACTATGCTGTAAAACATTATAGTTTATCCCTCCTATTCTGTTCCTCAGAGACAGAGTAAATTCTCTCACAAGAACATAAAAAGAACCATATTTTTCCTCCAGTTGGAAATGACCTAATGAAAAAACCTACTAAAATTTGGTATAACGCCAAACAATTGTGACACTTTTGATGGTGACATTTTCCCTCTTCTTTCAAATTATTAGTCTATTTGAAAAATGTTTACCTAGAAGTGTTATTACCCTAAATGACTTCATGCTTAAGTAGTGAATAAGATTTACAGTCATATCCAAGTGAATACCTCTCAGCATCACAACCAAGTAACTGAAACAAACAAACAAACAACTGAAAAGAATGTGTTCTAATTAGGCTATGTTTACAGTCATCACAGACTAGCTCAAATAACAGAGGTCCTTTTAATTGAGCTCAGGGCAGTAGGAGTTCTTTCTTCCTCAGGCCCACGTGAATTGGCAGGGTCTTCATTCCATGCAGTTGTGAAGGGACCCGGGTTCCCACCTCATGGGGTCTCAGCCTCTTTGAGAGCCTTGTCATCCTCTGAACTGGGGCACAAGAGCAGGAAAATTGTACTGAATATGGGGGAGACACACGTGATCCATTTGCAACCAGAAAAGATACACACGCTCATTGTTCTTATTGGCTTGGGTAGAGCCTAGTCACGGAGTCCAACCTCCCTTACAAAGACACGTAATTTACAAGTGTGCCGAGAGGTAAACACAGATTTTAGTGAGCCCTTCATGGTTGAGCATAGTCAACATTGTGGTCCTCAAATACCACTTACTCCTCTGTGTCGTAGGCAGAACACAACTACCCCAGGAAGAAATATCAGTAGTCCTATTTAACTCAAAATCTAGGGTCTCTGAGTGACATGGAATTTTCTCCACCATGTCCTTTTATGATGACTATTGTTCAGCATCTACGAAAGACACATATGAGCCACTTCTTCCTGCTACTCAGCATCCAGTGGTGGTACAGGTTCAAGAGAGGTAGGGAGAAATTAGCTCGCACAAAGGAAGATAGCACAGGATAAAAGGCTTTAGCATTCTAAACTTCACTCAGAATAACACGGTGAAGCCCATTCCCCGGTCCAAGGCCCCCAGAAGCATTTCTTTGTTAAGATCTTGAGTCTGCTCCCTACAAGGAGCTCGTGTTTGCTGTGGTACCTGTGTGACTGTGGATTGTCCCTCACGTTCCAACCAAGTGTGACTTCCCAATGGTGAGATTACAGGTATGTGCCACCACCCCTGGCTACATTATTCTTTTTTCTTAATGTTATTGTGATAGAATTCACATACCATAAAATCCATCTTTTTAATGTGTGTATTTAGTAGTCACAGTGTCACAGTGGTATATAATCATTACCAGTGATTCCAGAATATTGATTCCACAAAGAAACTCTATATCCATGTGCTCCCAGTCAAATCCCTCTACCCTCTCAGTCCCTAGCAACCGCTACCCTGCCTTCTGCTTCTACAGATTTGTCTTCACTAGATATTTCATAGAGATTGTATCAAACAACATGTGACCTTTTTGTGTGGCTTCTTTAACATGATATAATATTATAAAGATTGATCCATGTTGTAGCTATAATAATATTGCATTCCACTATATTTGTAAATAATGTTCCAGGGCAAAAAATACTACATTTTATTTACCCATTTAGCAGCTGATGTACAATTTTCTTTGTTTCATTTTCTGGCTATTATAAATAATGCTGTTATGAACATTTGTGTACAAGTTTTATGTGGATACATGTCTTCAATTCTCTTGGATATATCCCTGGGAGTAGAGTTTTGCATAGTATGATAATCTGTATTGCATTTTTTGAAGAACTGACAACAATTTTTTCAGAGTGGCCGCACCATTTCAATCCAACAGCACTTGTCAGGGCTTCTAATTTTCCTGTGACCTCCAAGAGACCTGTAATTGCCTCTTTTTTCATTACACCACCTTGGTAAATGCGAAACAGTACCTTTTTATGGTTTTACTTTGCATTTATCTAATGCCTAATTCTAGTAACATTTTTAAGACATGTTGATTTGTTGTATTCTTTTCTTGTGATAACATTATCAGACTTTGAATCAGGGTAATATTGTCTGCATAGAATGAGTTAGTGAAAATTACCTTCTCTGATATTTTTCAAATTAGTTTTAATTTTTGGAAAATACATGTAGCATAGAATTTATCATTTTGACTATTACGTATGCACAATTCCACGGCATCAAGCTCTCCTTTACAATTTTTTTTGGAGAATGTGTGAATGATTGAGTTTAATTATTTAAATATTTGGAAGAACTGGCAACAAATCCACCTATGCCAGAATTTACCTTTTTGATACATTTTAAATTATTGATGCAATTTATTTATTATTAGTATTCAAGTTTTCTTTTTCTTTTTTTATTAGAACACATTTGCAGTACATAATGACTGCATTTATCACGAGGAGCTCATACACGCACACTTAACACAAATTAATTCTTGTTTAATCCTGTTCCCCCGCCCCTCATATCTTGGTCCCTTTCCCTTTTGTAAAGTTTTCTGTTTCGTTATTAGTCAGTCATTGTTTTTCTTAGGTTTTTTTTATTCCTTCTTTGTGATACTAGTAATTAACATAGGGCTTTCGATTCTGTGATTGTTTCCCAGAGTATTAGGCTTATACATTGAGCCACCACACCCAGGTTTTTCTAGTAATGTATCCATCTCATCCACCCTGTGTAATTTGATAGTGTACACAGCTTGTATTCACAGTGTTCTCTTGTCATCCTCTTTGTTTCTACAGAAACACAACTGATGTCCCCTATTCAGGGTTGGTGTTAGCAATCTTAGTCTTCTCTTGTTTTTCCTGATCATCTAGTTAAATGATGGTAAGTTTTGTTGATCTTTTTCAAAAAATAGATGCTTACAATCATAAATTTGCTTTTACTCCCTGATTTCCATACACTTATAAGTCATAAAAACCCCAGCCTCTCCCCCTAACTGAGCAGTCCTCTCCTGGAACTCACAGACTGCTCTCTTGAAGTGCCTCAGCAGATCCTAACTTTGCAATGTTCTTTGAATATTGGTAAGTTATTTTACCTCCTCCCCTCCATAAGGCATCCTGAAAGGCATTTTCCAAAAGGAAAGTTCTGTTTTTATTTTGGCTCCACAAATATAAGTCTCATTTGCTACACATTCTCAATATTTAATATCACTAGTCATTCTTTCTTTTTTTGTTTTGTTTTGTTTTTTGAGACAGGGTCTTGCTATGCAGTACAGGCTGGCCTTGAACTCACTATGTAGCCCTGGCTGGCCATGAATTTGAGGTGATGTTCCTGCCTCAGCCTCCTGACTCTTGGGATTACAGGTGTTTAACACCACACCCAGCTACTCTTTCTAATTCTAGTAAGTCTAAGCAGTATTTATTGTATTTCACTGTAATTTAATTTTCTTATTTCTCTGATGACAATTGTAATTGATCATTTGTGCATCTTCTTTGGTAAAATATCTTTTCTAAACCTTTTATTTATTGGTGTCCTTAATTTTGAGTTGCAAGAATATTTTATATATTCTGCTGGTGGGTTGTCTTTCACTTTTTAAGTGATCTCTTTTGAAGAGTGTCTTAGTTACTTTTCTCATTGCTGAGACAAAATATCCAACACCCAGAAGTTTAAGGAGGAAATGTACACTCCAGTTCACAGTTTGTACAGGTTTTAGTCCATAGTTGACTCACTGCAAGGCAAGGTGGCATGGCAGAGGGGCAGTGTGGAGGGGAAACAGTCTATGGCAGTGTAGGCAGAAGGCAACAAGCTTCCTTTTCCCTTTCATTTCATCCACAGCATAAATCATTTGGGTGGTGCCACTCACCC